AATCAATTTTTCGACTTGTGCCATTGATAGGCGATTTAGGTCCATTTTTATAGGCATTTACTCTTAAATAGTGAAACTAAATAATTAGTTTCTTGTATCTGTTTGTGTTTAGCCTGTGTACGGTACAGCCACACACTCTCGTCAGAGTGACCAGACGTACACAGTCAAGACAGGATAAAGGGAAAGAGTTAATATCAGTTCTTTTATGAACTCCGATCCATATTATCATTTTATTTTCACACAAGTATCTTTTGTTAGTATTGTAAATTTTTCTTTTTCACACTTTTTGCCGTATATATTCTAACGACGGCGTTTTTTATTCTCTATTTGTCAAAGATTGCAGACTGGCAATCGAAAGCTCTAGTAATTTTAAACTGTTTTAACCAGAGAACGTTTCGAAATTTTGAATAAATTGTTGTTTTCTTTTCTTAATCGCAACTTGCAACTACCGAAATATTTTTATTAAGTAGATTTCAACTAAATGTAAAACGTACACAAAATTATGTAAATACCACAAACTTCCGAAAATATCGACACCCTGAAAGTAACGTCAGAAATTCGAGGCTGTTCAGGACAAATTTCTGTATTTAGTGCTGTTTTCTTTGTGTCCAAGTCTCTTTTGGAAATTGAGGGACAAGAAAAAAAAAAAAAAGGAAAATTTTCCAATTTTGACCCGAGCCTGGGAGCCATATTAGAATATTGATATATCGAACGTGGCCTGCTACAGCTAATCTCAATTCCAGAGCCCTCGCTCTTCGGGTGCCGCTGACCGTAAAAGCGGAGGCTCTGGGCATGACAAGTAATAGCCTGATAATCTAAGCTAACACTCTTGCTTTAAAAACAAAACTAGTCGTACCTGTCTTCTTACTTTGGGATGAAGGACACTAAATATCATCGATCTCTCGGTAAGTAAACATCAAACAATTCTAGTTTTCGTTTTATTAATTCTAACTTGCAATATAGCCAGCTGTCGAAAGATTTTTGTCAAGTAAGTTACTGAAAGTTATGTAAATATCTTTATAAATTCTGCTGTACACTGGTCGCAGGAAATGGGAGACTTGAAATCAAACTTTCCAGTAAAATGAAATTGTTAGCTGGAGACACGATCGATCCTTAATAGTTAAACACTACAATAAATAAATAAATAAATAAATAAATATACTAAAAACAAAAGGACAAAAAAATTACAACTGTACAAAGTTTTCATTTTTCAAGTGCTGATGAAATCAACTGAGAAAACGCTTATGCCGGTAGAGGAGAACGTTTTCCCTCGCGAATATGAGAAAACGTTAAGGATAGTGGATTTCGTTTCTCTTCCCGACGACCCGATCTCGTTATATCCTGCGTGACTACCCCTTAATAACATTAAGTTTGTCTAGTACTCCTTTGGAGAGTTTCAGAACACAGCCCGTGAATGTATCGTCTTCGGAGATCAATTTCACTGGTATGGTTGCGTTCTCGATCCACTTGTCCTCTGTAGGGTCATAGCATTCAACACTCAAGTCACCTCGTTCATAGACATTTCTGCCACCCAGCACATATAGTGTTCCCTTTAGACACACAATAGTGCCATATTCGCGAGGAACTTTCAAACTTCCAATTAACTGCCATTCGTTTGTCGAAATGCTAAACATCTCACATGTTTTCAAACACGAGTCCCAATTCTCCCTCTCTCCGGCCACAAAAATGTTTCCTTT